TATATTTGCTGAGCTTTGTTGGATATAGTTTAATTACATTTATTTGCATTTATTTTTCCTTGTCCTCTGTACCTAAATTTTATGTTTCTGAGCCCACTCCTTCTTCCAAACCTCTACTCCCTTGGCTTCTCCCTCCCAGGTTTTCATCTTCTTTTGTACCTTGAAACTGGACACTGGCATGGATGGGGGAACCATCAGTTGTACTTTCAGGCACTGAAGACCACACAAAGGTGTGGTAATCCCGAACACAGGCAGCCTCCACCTGTGAAAGTCCAAGGTGGGAGAGAGGTATGGTGATGGAACCACCATCTATGGATTGTAGAAGGGGCTGATGGATTGAATGAGGGGGATAAGATGGAGTTACAGTGGCAAGGATAATAAGAGACAGGGAAAGTAGAGGAACACTAATATGTCAGGAGAGAGGAAGCCTAAGATAGGGAGAAGATGAAATTTGCTTATACAGATGGCCTCTGTCATCTGTGACATCTTTCTCTCTTCTCTATCGACCTGAGGTTGAGAATCCAAGAGCCTAGTCATTCCCCTTATTCCACCCAAACTAAGGCCCATAAACCTAAGCCAAATGAGGTTCCAGGGATACCTTGAAGATGCCAATCCAGTCACTGGCACTGGGCATGGTGCCTGGGGGTAGGGTGTAATGACATTCCACCTTGGTGTTGGGGATGTAGGTCCGGGCTACATTCAGAAAGTTGACTCCACCCCGGGATGGTGCCCGGCTTAGTGATGATTCTTCCATTCTGGCCTCGATATATCTGTCCTCCTAAGAGAAAAAGGGTTGATACCACAAAGTCTCTCTGCTCCATCTCCATCAACCCACAGCCCCTGCCACTGTACCTGGAAATGAAGGCATACCTAGTTTCCAGCTCCTGAGGGTTAATAGGACCTTTTAGAGGTATCACTCTTAGTCTCTAGAACAAAGGTCTGGCCTTACAAGTCAGTCCCCACCCTGTCTCACATTGTACCCTCTCTGGTTTATAGACCCTTCTTAGAGTTCAGATCTCTAATTTCTGCTTCCTTTTCACTGTCCCATTGACCAAGTCTCAGTATCCCAGGCTCTGCTCCCCACCCCCAAGTCCCTTCTTTTTCACCTCTTAACCTCCTTGGGCATTCCAAACTCTCCACCTCCATTTCCCCATCCCATCCCTCACACCTTCTGGCTCTTAAATTCAAAATTCAACCGAGTATGGGACCCTCTCATTCTGATCAGGTCTCCTTAACTACTCCTAAGCTTGTTAACCTAGTTGTACCCAGGAATGAGTTATGACACCTGAATGCTGCAACTAATCTCTGAAACGAATGGTTTAGTCTTCAGAGCTGGAATATGGCTGCCGGTGGTGGTGGTGATGGGGAGACCAACAGCCCCATCCTCAGGCTCCTGAGCTCTCAGTCCTCTACCCCTCTCTGAGCTGTCTACCCCCATGAATTCTCAGGAAGCAGAAAGCTTCTGCTCTCATCCAAGAAACAAAGAGAAGGGGAAGATATAAGGAAAGACAGGTTCTGTCCCTCAACTTCATTATTCCAGGAAGTCAAGAATTCTGTAGGCGGCAGCTTCAAGGGTGGAGTTAAACACTCAGCAGGAACGTGGTGGTGTGGGGAGATGGAATGCGGGGGCCTAGAGCCAGGATAGCCCCACCCCTGGACAGGGGACAGACTGGAAAGTGGGAAACAAGGGGTCCTGAGAAGGGGAAATGTATATTTAATATTGAAGAAAGGGAGAGATAGTTCAAAAAGAACCTAACA